CAAAAAAAAAAAAAAGGGGGGAAGGGAAAAAAGAAGTTTGCCTTTTGCCTTTTTCCCCAAAAAAATTCCCGTCCCTGTCCCCCCCCCCCGTTCCCGTTTCCCAAAGAGAAAGTCCCCCAAACCTTGAAAACAGACGCCGTGTCTCTCCTCTCCTCCATCCCTCACCCCCCCACCGACAGTCTTTCCAAGTTCAGGGAGGTCCATCTCTCTCCTCTCACAGACGGAAACACCTACAGGTGAGAGCACTCAGTTTTTATGCCTGTGATTGATAAACTAGTAGATTTGTGAACATTGCGTCTAGTAAATTTGACACGCCTGAAGAACATTGTGGTATTTGGTACGTCTCTGTGTTTTCCGACGACTATATAAATATGGTCTCAGTCTTTCATGAGTCCAGTGCGTATGTGCAAGCTCATATCCCTCAGTTAGAATCTTTTTCTACCACCCCAACAGCATGCCAAACTTATCTCTTTGCTCTGCTGCGCTGAGCTAATGCTACATCGCAAACCCTTGCACACCGGAGTATAAGTATTATATAGCAAGTTTGGGGAAGAGGTTCAAATTTCCCTACATGACACACAATCATTACATGTGTGCAATGAACCATAATAACTAAGTGGGGGCAGACAAATAATATTTGACCAACCAAAATTCCCAGTTCACTTACTATTATTATAAAGCATGTGTGTATGTACATAGGCAGCAGGGCAATTCGCATGCGACTGGAAGCTGGCCCAGGGACTGGACCTGAGTGGTCAGCACACATAGGGACGGCAAGGGGAGGGTGCGAGCCGACTCGGAGATAAGTGCCGATCGAGTCTCCTCAGGAGCCCCGGAACTGGTGCTGCAGGATCGCGACGTGACACGATCGTACCGGTCTGGCCCTCCAGGGAACTGTTAGCGGCACAGGTAGCAACCAGGGTGAGATGGTCCTTCCCACTCCACCTTGTCGAATTTTTGCGTGGTGTTTTGTTTATGCTGTGCTCTGTGGTTTCATCGTGACACTGGAAGCCATTGGGCAGCCCGAGGCAAATGATGTGCATGCACATCCTAGTGATGTCTCGTTGAGTGTGCATCAGACCATCAAAATGCAGCCCCTAATGCCAATTGAACACCTTTCACAGCACTGTGTTTGCATGGGAGTCGTAGTATCTGTTTTCTTATACCTAGATCCAGTGCAACTCTATGTATGTACATTGCTGTGTTTAGCTTGTGGCCGTGAGTACATATTACTAGGGAGTCAAAGCACACCCACACTTCAAGAAAAACACTTCACAACAAACAAACTAACACAACAAAAAACCAATCAAAAATCTCGCGCATCCCAAAGCAGCACTCCTCCTCCTGCACAGCCCATGCACAAGCCAACTACTCAACAAAACTACTAAAAACTCACCTCCCTTAAATCCTCTGCCTCTCCACTCAGCATGCTACTGTAACTCATATCATATGTTACGTCACAGTTGGAGCTTCTATAGAGTCCAGCTCTGTTTAGCAGCATGTACTAAGCGCTGCGAGCTAGACCTTGCGCTGCGTGCAGACTGTCCTCGTACCTCTGCTGCATGCGCTGAAACCCTGTTCAGTGTATATAATATCATGTCATGAGTGTGTACATACAGACACTGTTTCTTTGTAGGACTTGGAAGAACAAGAAGTTTCAATGAGAAAAATTAGAGTGGTGAGTTGTGTGGGTTTGTGACTTCTTTGGTCTTCTGTGATTGCATGCTTTCATTCCAGCTTTTGTGACATCTGTTTGTGCACACGTCAGCCTTCCTCTCACTCATCTCCTGCTCGTTCTCCCTTTTATCCGTTGTCTCTTCTTAGGGTCAAGTGTTCTAGTGATCAATCTGCGCCGCTGCAATAATAGTGTAAATCTTGCCTGTCATGTGATGTACACATGTATGTATGTCCACAATAATTAACCCCCTCTTTATTCTCCCTCTCCCTATTCACTCTCTCCTTTCTCTTTGCTTTTCCCTTTCTTTCTTCTTTCTCTCTTTCCCTCCCCTCGCCCCTCTCCTCTTCACCATTTTCCCTCTTTTCCTTTCTCTCTCTCTTTCCCTCCCCTCGCCCCTTCTCTCCTCCTCACCATTTCCCTCTTTTCCTTTTTTTTTTTTTGTTTTTTTTTTTTTTTTTTTTTTTTTTTTGTTTTTTTTTTTTTTTTTTTTTTTTTGTTTTTTTTTTTTTTTTTTTTTTTTTTGGTTTTTTTTGTTTTTTTTTGTTTTTTTTGTTTTTTTTCTTTTTCCTTTCTTTCTTCTTTCCTCCCCTCGCCCCTCTCACCTCCTCACCATTTTCCCTCATCTTCTCTCTCTCTTTCCCTCCCCTCGCCCCTCTCCTCCTCACCATTTTCCCTCTTCTTTTCCTCTCACCCCTGTCCCCAACACCACTTTCCCTCTTTTGTTCCCCTCGCCCCTCTCTCCCTCACCATATCCTCCTATCTTTCTCTCCCCCCTCCCTACACACAGTCACCCGACACATTTCCGCCACCCAGTGGTCGAGAGTACGTACTCCGTGCCACCCTCCCCCGCCCCTCCCCCCACTCCCTCCCCACTCCCCAGCGAATGTACTGTGTCCTCACCCCCACCGAGTTCAGACTAGCCGGAGCCTTCTCCTCCGACATTCTCATCACATGACTCTCATGTGACTTCCAATTTTCCATATTTGTATATATAGCAGTCGTGTTGCAGATGTGGCAAGGACGATGGGCACAAGGTATTATATACACACAATTGTGATTCCCAAAATGGCAGGTTAAAAAGTGAAAAGCGGAGCAGTTTGTGTTGCTAATAAAAACAGCAACTAAATCAGGCCAGAATGGGTGGAACCAGAAAGAACTCTTATATACTACAATCCAACATTTCTCTATAGTTATATAGAGAGTGGGACCGCTATCAATGGTGTCAGTTTGCCACCCTGCCTGTCCTCTAAAAGCTATAATAATCCATCCCCTGTCCCTCAGATGACTCGGTAACGAATAGTCTACCTAATTAAATAATTTTTCAGAGGTGCACTTGCACCGCATGACGTCTGTGAACAACGATAGAGCTTTGAAGTCTGGCAAATTGGTTTGTAAAAAAATAGTTATTTACCATATTACATATCAGGGTTGTCAAATAATTATGCAGCAAAGATCTCAGAAGTTGTAAAGTGTGTTTAAAATCATCATGTTTGATGCCCTGGATATACATACATACATACATATGTACGTATTGGAATATTAGTACACGTAAAGATCTGGGGATCATAGAGTATATTATGTGCGTATTTCGTGTGTCAGACTTTTTGTACTAGCTGTTCGTGTTTGAGTCCCACAAGAAGTTTTATGTACCGTCCGTCGCCGCCAACACCACTGCCGCTTGTCTTCCCTCCTCTCCACCTCTCCTTCCTCTGGTCCCATGCTGTCCTCAGTCGCTCCCCCAACCCTCCCTCCTCCCAGCCACCACCACATGCTGCCAGTAGCGCTGCTATCACCAGGCACAGGACCACAGCTAGTAGGACCAGCAGTAGCCGGGGTGTGGCTGGCAAGTGTCCCCCCCATGAGTTATCTGTTAGTGAGGAGACAGTAGTTACAATAGTGACAAGGGAGCAGTAGACAGAGCAGTCTCGTGTCCAGACCCCACCCACTCATCAGGGGTCTGGTAACTATTGACACATTACTTGGTCCTGATCTCGAAATGGAGATCTCCGATCAGATCCCAGAACGGCCAATAAAAATCCGCGCATCCGCAGTCTGCAGACTTTGGTGTAGGTGGGGCCACGTATGCATCACATACTAGAAGAGCAGTTCGGATACTACGAATATGATGTCTTCAGGACCCGGTTTAGGTGTCAATAGCTACCAGACGCTCCTTTCCCCCTGTGGGTGGGGTGGAGTGGCTGGGTACGAGACTAGTGAGACAGGGGGAAGGAGACAAGGTGCTGTATTATATTTTTAATGACGTCATGTAGGGACAGTTTATGTGTAGAAAAACACCCAGGGACAGAGTCGGCAGACTCTAGTATAAGACTGGGAGCAAGTGAAGATAGAAATGGTAATGGAACTATGAAAAAGAAAGTAAACAGAGGAAAGTTTCATCGGATAATTTCCCCAACTATGGAGATGGATATCGCGATATCTTACAAGGTCCCTTGGTGTGTTCTTTATTTGGAATGCCCACAACTCTATAGTCCAAATGGTGGGATTTACAGTACATGGTTGTAGGGAGTCAATGTATTAGGTGTGGTGGGAAGGTCATGTGTTGTAATCCTAGGAGCCTGTGTGTATGAGAAGGACCAAGATCAAATACCCGCTCGTGTATATATAGGCACCCGAAATTTATCATCACGTAAATGCATAGCCACTAAAAATTATGGCAGATGTATAATTGAAATATTGACACACTGCCCTACAGAGTGGCCCTCGGGCGAGAGTAAAATACAGTACTGGAAAATGAATAGCGCACCAAAATTAAACTGGGTTGACGATGGATTATAATGTGCATTGCAAAGTCAAAACGCGCCATCAGTATTGTCACTGACATTCCAGAGTTGTTGGCCTGATATATAGAGCCTGGGCTTGGGATATAATAATATGAAGTTTTGAGCATCCATGAATTAGAGCGTTATGTGTGTGGATATGAATAGGGGGATAGGCTAGGCACATGAATACTGTATGAGTGATGCATAATGTAATTGTCTACTATTGTCACTGACATCTTAATACATGCTGCTGGATAATGTGAGTGCTAGGTGAATGTAATGCATTGATTCCGACCATTGAACCTTGACCATGTAGATTGGGGTGCAATAAGACAAGCTGGACTATATACTGGATTCACAGTGCATAACTACTTTGTGTGTGGAAAGATTGAGAGCACATGAACCTTGACCATGTAGATTGGGGTGCAATAAGACAAGCTGGGACTATATACTGGATTCACAGTGCATAACTACTTTGTGTGTGGAAAGATTGAGAGCACATGAACCTTGACCATGTAGATTGGGGGTGCAATAAGACAAGCTGGACTATATACTGGATTCACAGTGCATAACTACTTTGTGTGTGGAAAGATTGAGAGCACATGAACCTTGACCATGTAGATTGGGGTGCAATAAGACAAGCTGGACTATATACTGGATTCACAGTGCATAACTACTTTGTGTGTGGAAAGATTGAGAGCACATGAACCTTGACCATGTAGATTGGGGTGCAATAAGACAAGCTGGACTATATACTGGATTCACAGTGCATAACTACTTTGTGTGTGGAAAGATTGAGAGCACATGAACCTTGACCATGTAGATTGGGGTGCAATAGACAAGCTGGACTATATACTGGATTCACAGTGCATAACTACTTTGTGTGTGGAAAGATTGAGAGCACATGAACCTTGACCATGTAGATTGGGGTGCAATAAGACAAGCTGGACTATATACTGGATTCACAGTGCATAACTACTTTGTGTGTGGAAAGATTGAGAGCACATGAACCTTGACCATGTAGATTGGGGTGCAATAAGACAATATAGGACTAGGGTGGGATTCACAGTGCATCTGTTTCCCACTTTTTTTTTTGTATGTGGGAGGATGCAGCATATGAACCAAGTATACATAGCTATGGATTTGAACTTGCTGAGGGATACAATAACACAAGCTAATGGGGTGGGAAAGACGCTCCTTAACCCCACCTGGCACTGAGAGAGTAACACACCAAAAAGCCTTGCTAACATGGTCAGGCCCTGTCATTGGTAGGATGACATGCTCTGTGATGTAACATGGTGACAATGCGCTTATACGTATGTACGTATATGTAGAAGCATTGTAGCAGCAGGGAGCAGACACTAGAGAGAAGTAATTCGATATCCAATCTTATACACACACTACCTTGGAATCTATGCATGTTGTTGGTGGGGAGTGCCATTTTTATGGAGGAGTATTAGTTTGATACTACTACACCATCCCATATCAGAAGTCTTAGACCAAGTGGGTTTTTTTTGTGGAGAAACGGTGACAAGTATTGGTATTTCATTGATTGTATATACCCTGGCTAGGCCTCAGAACAATGCAAAATTGCTGAGTGTATTAGTGGAGTAGCCTGAAGAGGTGTGAAAAGTAACAGGTAATATGAGTGATATTACCTGTTACTTTTCACACTTTTTCCCAATCGACCGGACAGAGTCGTACGGAGCCCCCCGATCAGACGGGACGAGACGACGCTGTCAGACGCTCAGACACGCGCGTGGTTCTCCAGTGTACAAGCTACCAGTAGCACGCCTACTGCATGGCGGGCCTTCCACGTGTATGCGCTCAGTAATATTGCGTAATCCCTCGGGCTACGCCCTCGGGTTTACGCAATATTACTTCGCGCATAACGTGGAAGACACCTGGTAGGCGTGCTACTACTATTACATGGACAAGTATTATACACATGCAATACATAACTGATGGTGTTGCACAAGTTGTTCTTGTACACCGCTGTGAACTGCGTGAATGCATGCATGCAGGGATGAATGCACTAGTCAAACAAGAACATGGAAACGGACAACGCGGTGCTTACTCTGACTGTTGTTTGTGCAAACTTCAAAGTGTTTCTCAACCCAACATTGTTTGTCTAAAGTTCACGGTGCAGGCAAATCAACTGTTTAGGTTAATATAAAAACTGAATGTGCCGGGAAAAATACATTTACACTTTGGACGCCGTGGGTATAAGCAGCCTAGTATTATAACCCCAATAAAATTGGAGACTCTGGACACATTTTGTGTGTCTGTCCGTGGCTAGTTCAAGAAGTCAAATTATGGTTAGCGTGGTTTACGTACATAAATGTGGGCACTGACTCATCAATACAAGTGTGTAATTTAAAATGGGGGGAAATGGTTGTGTTGTGGGTTTGGTTACCGGTTGTGTCGCTCCCCTGCTCCAAGTAGATTGATACATTGAAGAGCTCTCCGTCATTCCCATACGTGACCACATTCATATCAATAAAGCCGTAGCGAATCAATTCGCTGCTCGGGATGTGAAACCCGTTTGCCCCTGAAGTCAGTGTTAATTGTTCCAGGGTGTGTGGAGATATGGTCGGGCTTGAGATGACGACGTGATGTTGCTCCTTCCAGCCCCTCTCCTCTTCCCACTCCCCCCACAGCCCTTCCTTGTCCACTCTTATTGTCACGTCCTTCACCTTTACCACAACTGCACGGAATAGATGACGCCTTTGCAAACTAATACTGCATAGCACTACAATGTACCAATGAGTGTCTATCGGGACAGGTGCACTTAGGGCGGGCTACCAGCCAGAAATATTATTTCACACTTTTCAGAGGAAGACAGACAGTGAACTGGAGAAGCTACACTACAAAATCGCAGTGAGGTTGCCGTTGTATATATATACCTGGAGTGAAGTAGTGGGCGGAAACCCGCAGAAGACACTCTGACAGCAGTAGTAACGCCAGGAGCCGCGAACAGCCGCGATGGACCGACATCGTTTGTCCGCGCGTTCTCTCTGGAACCGACGTGCTGGTGTAGAGGTGCAGCATTTTTTTCACGCCAGTTTGGTCACGCTTTCAGCTATATAGCTGCAGAGGACGACTAGCAGGTATGCAAATAAGTAACAAAATGCCGTTCCTCTGGCGGCAAAACGTAGCTAGCTGAGCTGCTGATGAGGGGGCGTGTCGTCGTCTCGTCCGTGTTATAACACGCGCATGCGCAAATGGGAAACAAGGCTCTATCAATTTCACGCGTACGTGACACCTCCACAACTGTCAATCAAACATGGATAGAAAAATGAGTACCACGCAGTTGAATAGAGAACTACTCTTCATGTCCATTAATAATGAGGATAGGCCCTTCTTCGTTCCCATTTTGTTGAAACTTGTTGGGACACATCATCTGTCTACTGGTAGCCGGAAGCTTCTTGAGGGTGCAGGAGGGGTTTATGGTTGAGGTGGGTTGGTGGGAGGAGGGGGAGGGTGTATTTGATGATAGTTCGGTTGTGCCGTTGGTGTAATTGACAGACGAAGCAGATGTGCCGGAGGAGGGGGTGGTGCAAATGACTGCTGATGTGCACTGCTGGCTTTGTTGCTGTAGGTGCTGCTGAGCTAAGTGTGCAGAGGTAGGGGTGGCGTGGTTAGAGTGGGTGAGGCCATTTCGAGTGAGAGTGAGAGGAGGCGAGGAAGATGAAGGAGAAGGCAAGGACGATGTCCGGTTCACAACACCTGTGACTGAGCTGCCTGGACCACCAGTAGAGCGTGTTTGGCTTTGGTGCGGGGAATCAAGGGGTGTGACGACGTCAACCCCTTCGTGCCTCCTCTGCTGGCGAGACATTTCCCACTCTATGCTGGCACTGTCGGTGCTCCTCATCAGCCCGGGGGATCCTCCAACTTTCCTGGCTGTTACAGGGGCACCAACTTCACCATTCGTCCCAGTCTTTGTACTCAGACTGTCTCCATCTTCCGACAATGAAGAAACGAGTTGACTCCCAGCGGGAACAGATTTGCTGCCAGTCTTGGGAAATGTGTTGTCGTTTTCTCCCCTCCTTGCTGGCCGATCCCCCTGTTCCCCTAGCCTGTTGCTGGTGTCACTCGGGGAAAGAGGAGGAGGAAGAGGAGGAGGAGGAGGAGGAGGAGGGGAGAGGGAGCGAGACGGAGACACAGACTCAGTCGGGGTATCGGAGGAGGTGCTGTTCTCCAGACTAGAGAGGGGGGAAGTGGTCCGCGAGGTGCTGGCCGACGTCTTATCCGTGAGTCTCTCTCCTTCCCTCTGCTTGTCCCCACCACCACTGCCCCCCTCCTCCTGACCCCTCCTCTCCAGCTCCTTCTGCCTCCTCTCTCGCTCCCGCTGCCTCTTCTTCCTCTCGCGACGCAGCTGAGTCGGGGTCTTCTTCTTGAGGTCAGCAGAGGAGGAGCGCAGGGAGTCACTGAGGTGAGGTTCAGACTTCCCCACCCCAGAATCCACGCTCTCCCTCAGGGACTCAGCTGGAACTGTATGGCGGACAGAACCTTGTGAATGCATCATCAAGACCTAGTTCACTAGGGTTAACATCATTGTACATGCACAAGTGTCCTACTAAAGGCTAAGGATTGTTAGCTGCCTGTTTTTTTGTAGTCCCAAAGAGTTAAATTGTGTTAAGCAATTTGGAGCCACGTAATGCTTAAAGGGGCCGAGGAAGTGTGTGCACAATGCACTGAGTCACAATGCCCTAGTTTAACTCTTAATAGAAGTTTAATGAGGGGTTACTACACAAAGTTCATGAAAGAACAGAAGGAATAATGCTGTTAATGACACAGTACACTGTAACTGAACGGGCTATGGGTTAGACTAGACAACAGAAAACAGTAAATCACGATTTTTATGACCCAAACTTTTGGGTTATCACATATATTATTGTGGGGGGAAAAGGAGTTATGACACACACACATGTGGACTTACTGGCACCAGTCACTGGGTCATAGAGAAACTGTGGGAGAGAAATGAACCAATAATCATTGTGGCAATTTTTGAGTGAGTGGCAAGTTAAGTTCATTGCATGAACCACCAATGGTATTTGGGTATATGATATGATAGCAACGACACATTATAGGGTATGATATTTAGCACCACAGCAAACAGGGTATGGTTCCAGTTTTACTTGTACTATAACATATACATAAGTGTAAAGACCGAGAAACTATATACGCATGTGTACTCTACATACATCCTATAAATAAAATTACCTGTATACGTAGCATAGAGAGCCCACGTGGGGCCAGTCTAGCACTAGCCAAGTCTAATGGCAGCTGTATTGTATGTGCTGAGACTAGACCCTAGCTGGTATAGAAGCCAGGGGTGACGCAAGCGCTACTGGCGAGTTACCGGGGGGGGGGCTATATACAGTAGTGAGGTTTGATCATGGCAGGCATGCTATAATATGAGTGCACACTAATGCAGGAGGACCCTTGGTTGCCTTTTGACAGAGGTTCCATCATTCCAGTATCCGATTCCATAAGGTGCACCACAACAGAAAATGAATCTCCCGCCTGGAAATACATTTGAAGACAAGAACTTACCACTCCCTGGGCCTTGAGGGATTCCCTGACTCTCGACTGAATGGCAGACATCTCCTCGGGAGACCGTTTCACCCTCACTCCTCCTCCTCCTCCTTCCTCTCCGGACATAGAACCCTGCCTGCCTCCCCCCTCTCCAGCTCCACTGCTCCCACGGCTACTACTGGGGAGCGAAGAGCTACTGGTACTGAATCGCTTTCTCCACAGCTCCCTCTCTTTCTCTCGTCCCTTCAGCCTCACGCTGAGCGAGGATGAAGGCACGGAGGAAGTGGGCTGGGAGTCTCTCGAGGTCTCCTCCTGGTCTCCCTCTGCCCCCGTCGTCGTTATTGACGATGACGAGGGGTGATAAGAGGAGGAGGAGGAGGAAGAGGGGAACTGGCCGCGGCGGCTGTTAAAAGATTTGTTCTTGTTCCCGTGTTTCCCGTGCTTCTGCTGTGACTTATCCGAGGTGGAGGAGGAGGAGGAGGAGGGGGAGGAGAGGAGGAGGGTGACGGTCGATTTGGGATCCAGGTTCTTGGGAAGAGACTTTGGGAAGGAGCGACGGGTGTGCGTCACCACAATGGGTGCTGCAAACTTGCGAGAGAATGGCTGACGAGGCTTGTTGTGGCTGACAGAGACAGTCGAGGCTGGTGGTTTGGCCGGAGAATCTCCACTTGAAACAGACGGTGAATTTGAACCAGACACCGCTGGTGTGGAGTTCAAAGAGGCGGTGGAGGAAGAGGTGGGAGGAGAAGAGGGTGTGCTCTCTTGCCGAGAGTCTGAACTACTCTCCAGGGTCGCTGGTGGGTGTGTCCCTGCCGTCTTAACTCCCCTTGTGGCCGATGAAGAAGAAGAAGAGCTCTGTGGTGCATCTCCCTCCTTACCACAACCTCTGTTGGGACATTGGCTCACACTCATAGAGTCACCGTCGGGTATGTCGCCCACACTTTCTTTCCTAAACCCCTCTTCCTCCACTTCCCCACAAGCCACCTCTGATTTTTCCTCTTCGCGTTTCTCTCCTCCTCGATTTGTGGCACCTACTTCCTCGTTCACCTCCAGGTCAAGACTTCCTATGCTATCCTTCTCTACTGAAGGCGATTCCCTCTCAAAGACGGAATCGTCTGATATTGGGTCGCCATTTGATCCCTCTCTGTTTGATTTCGTTGCTGGTACGGCTGTCGTTGCCGTGGGCGTCGTGTGTTCGTTGGAGTGTGTGGGGCTTGGTGTGGTGGGAAGGGAGGAAGGAGGGGAGGAGAAGACACTAGTGCTGCTCCTGGTGCTGGCGTGTTTGCTCTTCTCGACAGCCGCTGCCGGGTCTCCTTCCCAGTGGGTGTATACATGACGTCGGTTGACAACTAGAGAGAGAGAGGGGGGAGAGGGTGATAGAGAGAGAAAGAGAGAGAGAGTGGTGAGTGAGTGAGAGAGAGAGAGAGAGGTGTCAGGGAGATAGAGGTATGGTTACCTTTAAGGGAATGTGGCAGTACTATAGTAAAGATGGAACGAGCCCAGTGCAAGAATCCAATTAGGCTGGTACATATTATACCGGCCCATTTTACTTTAGGGTTGGCATTCAAAATTACTAGCGATCCAGAGAATGATGAAGAAACGGCTTTCATCACGAGTGACACTTGGGAAGAGTTACTGGGAGTCAGAATGCCTGGATCTTCATACCAAGTACTCGGTTAAACCAGTCCCAAACAAAGGCCGGTTGTTACGATAATACTGTGTGTTGCATCCACTAGCAGTATGAATGAGGAAGAGCAATCCTTGTATGTATGCGTGACATATGTAGCATGTGATAGCAACGAGGTATGTAGCAAGGCAAAGGCAAAGCCAACAAGTCAACTACACCCAGGACAACCCTTTTTAAAAAGGAAAAATACCTCGGTGGGATTTGAACCCACGACACTCTGCTTTCTAGGCCTAGGCGAGCGCTCTACCAACTGAGCCATCAGGGCGACTCAGCTGGTAGGGGTTCAAATCTTCAACACGACACAAGACAAAGGCAAACCATGTGTGCACATTGCACTCTCTTTCTGTTACTATATACATTACTTTTATCCAGAGAGCAAGAGTGGGAGGGGAGTGGGAATAGGATGATCAAATGCAGTGGGAGGAAGTGAGGTCTATACGACAGAGTAATTAAGAAAGAGCGTGAGAGAGGAAGTTTGCAGGCGTAACTACACAGATAACAAGGCCAAAATAAACAGCCAAGTTTGGAGCTTTAAATGGTCAAAACTGCAACCAAGATGTTGTTGTGCCGCCTTTTTTATAGTCCGACACAAATGACTGCAGAGAAATTGAATTTGCCACAATACGTGTAAACCTACGTAATTCTCAATAAGAGTGGTCGAGGGATAGGCTAGCAAGAGAGGGAGAGGGAGAGAGAGGAAGAGAAGAAGCAAACTGCTACACATATGGCGTGGGAATTGTGCGCTGACTTGGCAAGGACAAGCTAACCGCCTGCCACTACTGAAACTCTGATCACAGAGGAGGGCTCATGCTCTTGTGATGTGGTGTACCCCCATCTGCACACACACCATTAGCCCCATGGGGATTTCAATGGCAAGAGTTGAGATTAAAGCCCCTTTTTGTTTTGTGATTTGTGAGTATTGTTTTTATGGTGCACTTAAGATTGTGAGGATTTGGCACATGCAGAAGGACACGTACCACAACAAAGAGGAAGAATAATACGACAAAGAGACTTACAGAACAAACATCCACACGGCAGCACGGATTAACAATGCAAAAAAACACACACACACAACAGTATAGTAGAGTTTGTATGCTGACCTTTTCCGAAGGTCATGACGTGTGGCAAGAGGTCGTCGGGGTCACCAATGAAGCGAGATGTTGTCCCTATCTCCTCGTCGACCTTCCTGTCCGCCACAAATTGCTGGAGCAAAAGATTTGAGAATAACATTCGAGCTACGCTGTTCTTATGGAAAAAGTATGTAGTTTATAATTCCTGTCCCCAAGCAAATTCTCACAAAATATTGTCAGAAGTACCTTTGACTGCATTTTATTCTCACTGCATGCACTTCATGTTAGCCTCAAGAGAATCTCCACATCAACTAGACCTGCAACTTGTGTCGTAGTGATCGTCCACTGTAACTGTCAGTCGGTGCCACTGAACGTATGTACGCATGGACCAGGTTCTTTGTCGAACCAAAGCCACCTTGTCTGTTGTGTCATGCTGAAGTCATGTCAGATGTTGCCCCACTACTATATATGATCACTGTATCTCTATGGTGGCTATATAAGACCATATCTGAATATCATTTTCCACCGAGTCCAGAACTCTTGTCAGGCCACAGTGCAAGCAGTATACACTGATACTCCACCACACTGTATATATACATGTGGAGTACCTTGATCTGTTTCTTGAGTTCATGGACCTGTGTCTCCTCCAGCTCCCCGGCCCTCTCTGCCAGCTGCCTCAGGACGCAGGCCGTGGTGTGCCGGCGTTGCAGGATCACCCCTGCACCAGGAGCAAGGTAGAGTGTGCATTAATCCAGGAGCAAGGTAGAGTGTGCATTAATACGGCGACATCAGCCTTGCGCAGGCACATGTCCACTCTGAATCGAGTTCACTTTTCATTACTACTTTCTCGCTCTGAATCAAATCTACTTATTTTCCATAACTTTCTGTCTAACTGAAGTTACGTACAGTCAATGTCAAACACCTTTTTACTATGCGTGTCATGCACAATATCAGTGGGGGTGCTACATAGGTGGCACTACCAGCCTTGCATCTGACTGCGCCATAACTTTCCTGACTCTGACTGAGTCTGACAAGTCTCCACGTGCATACACTACGAGATAACAAGTTATTTCAGGACTCTACATCATCGAGTACGGATTCTACACAAAACTGAATGACTCTGAACTGTATAACATAGCTGTTAAAACGTATGAATCACGTTTCAAGGAAGGTAGGTAGGTTGCATCATTCTCTAACCCCCCTATCTCCCATATTTATATTGTGGACCCAGTAGCATATGCAGTGATGTGGGTTATGGTCATTACCTGCAGTCTGTCTGGTTATCTGGAGCTCCCTGGCAATGTCCTTCTCCCGGGTATTGAGACCAATGTGCAGAGTGATGAACGCCTGGCGGAGGAACCGCAGCCCTGCATCACAGTGCTGTGGGGAGAGAGAGAGGAGAGAAGAAGAAGGCAGGGGAAGGGAGGGACGGGAAGGGAGGGGAGGGTGGGAGGGAGAGAGTGAGAAGGCAGGGGTGAGGGAGGGGAGGGTGGGAGGGAGAGAGTGAGAGGGCAGGGGTGAGGGAGGGAGGGGAGGTGGGAGAGAGGGAGAGAGGGAGAGGGGTGGATCAAAGGGAAAGTATGAGTGGAGAGAGGTGAAGAAACTGGGAGGGAATGTGGAAATATAATCGATGAGGCTTCTATTTACCACCTGAAACCCAACTCCTTGGCTGACTGTATCCCATTATCACTACTACCAATCCATTACAGGTTTGGCACCCAAACCTGAACAACAGTCATGGTTGTATATAACCACTCCATACTACCTACCACACACAGCATAGAAAATACGGAAGAATGGTTGGCATTACTGCACGCTGAGGCCACGATACACGACACGATGCAACTTTTCTGTGTAAGACAAAGTTGCATGTAACTTCAAATGTATGGGTATGATGGGTCCACCTAACATGCTGCACACACAATAATTATTTAGAGCAAGTTTGTTGCACGGTCTATCATACCCATACATTTAAAGTTGCACGCAACTTTCGTGTGTCCTGGCCTTGACTCAGGTTTTTACCTCATTCAGCATGGTCTGGTATCTGACGATGGACACCTCACAGCGATGCAGGTCCTTCATCAGCTTCTTGAGCGAGGGGTCGTGGTTGCTGCCTCCTCCTCCGGGGCTGCTGCTGGTGGAGGAGGGGGTGGAGCGAGAGTTGATCTGACCGAGAGCGTGGCTGGCCGACTCTGACCTCGAGTGTACCCGTGCCTTGTGCACTGCATTAGGAGGAGGAGAGGGGTTGGGGGATGGGGAAGAGTGAAACTGGTGTTCACGATGGATGTGTGCTGTGTGTACCATTGGTGGAGACAGTTATCAATAAAGTAGACTGAAGGAAGTTTTGTTGAGCGAGACCCATGAAAGCTTCAACTTTATTCAGTCTTTTGGCAAATAAGGAAATTGCTTTTGGTGTCTTTGGCCACATGCAGAACACTCCATTCATGCCTAAGCTTCCACGTGCCATAGTTACACTAACACTAACACAGACCCAACACCACTCGCTTAAACGTTTGAAGAAGAATGATTTCAACCTATGTGGTCATACAGGACACCCTAGTATACCAAATGACTGCCAACAACAGTTGGTACACTAAGTGAACACTCACCAACAATCATAGTGGGTATATACCCAGTAGCAGAAAGACACAAACATAAGCAGCTCAATATATTGCCAACTAAACTTAGAGTATAATACTCTAGATGATCTTGGCAGTGGTTGTCGTGCAAGCTTCCAACCAAACGCTCATGTTTGCACACTAAACCATTGATGGTTGAGTGGAGAAAACGTTACGACAGAGTTCCACAGGCCAATCCAGGCATTCCTCCATCCCCACCCATTTCCTGGACCCAGCCTGCAATATCTACTGCTGCCAGTTCCTTAATCACACACGTCCCTAGGACTTGGCTGACACACATTCTCCCTCCCGGCCTCAAAATAGCATGTTGCGTGCTTCTAAATATATACGCGCATCAAAAATTCAACTACTCGCATTTGCTTGATAAAAATCCGCTGCATTTGTTCTACTCCATAATGGCAGTTACTCCAAGACAAAAGGCTATATACCCATTATAGGTACTGCTATTGATACTGAGAATTCACGACAAAAACTATGCATTGGATTTATGCCAAACTGGGCCATAAGACTACCTCAACTTGTGAATGGACTAATGTTAGGTAGATGGGAACAGAGGACTCACTGTCAGCAGCAGAGTAAGCAGGAGATTTTGGTGTCTCTGGGAGCATGGGTGGTGGGGGGAATTTGAACCCGTGGTCCTTCCTGTTGTTTGGAGAAAACATCCCCATGGCTTGCATGGCCGCCTTCACGTTGGCGTGGTGAGCAAACGCCAGGGGACTATAATGTAGCCCCCCGTGATGGGGCAGGAGGGGAGGGGGGCCGCTGGGTAGCAGGGGTTCTTTGTACGGTCCGATTTTGGTGATGACCTGTCCGTTAGGGGTGGGGAACATGATCACGCCTCCTCCTCCCATCCCACCGCCGAAATTGAAGGGTCCCCTCCCGCCGCCGGCCACTCCCATGTATCCAGGCGGGGACGACGTTGCGGGGAATGGGATTGGTAGGCCGTGTCGAGCAGTGGCGAGGAGACTGTTGAGGTTGATTTCTTCCCTTGACATGCCGGCCGCAGCAGCCGCTGCTGCAGCTGCAACCGCTGCCACGGCGGCGACCGGCGGATCCTTCTTGTTGTTGTTGTTGTTGTTTCCGGTCCCGTGGAACTGTTGTTGATGGTGTTGTTGTTGTTGTTGTTGTTGTCTGTTTTTCTCGCGTTTGGCCCGGAATCTCTGGGGCAATTGGTATCCTCTTCCTGATCCCGTGTTTACCTGAAGGGAAATGTAAATAGATTTTCACACACTGTTTTACACAGCCTTCCCCATCATTAATGAAGGGGCTTCACAATTATGGTCTGTGATACTGTACTATATTACTATTTCAATTTTCTCTGCTATACTATAGTAACGTAAGGAGGTGATATAAGTAAAGAAAGGATTAAAGTAAGGAGGTGATATTGTAAGTAAAGAAAGGGTTGAAAGGAAGGAGGTGATTATTTTGGCTTAAAAACTTGTGGAAGCACTCTCCACTATAGGAGTAAAGGTGACCACTTGAAGACAGCATACAGATACTCCCATCTGCCTGCAGTGGGATATGTGTGGCATGCAACCTCTCCCCACCAACAGCTGGTAAGCAGGCCAGTTGAGTGGGAGTTAAGCACTACACTGGAATAAACTGTCACAACAAACCCTGGCAGATACGATTTCACTGTAACGTTATTCATGCCCTTATTGCCCTTATTTGACTCTCTATCTGACCGGTTCCCTCTACTATACCAGCAAAATGTCTTGAGTCGTACATAGTAAGTGGCTGGATTCAAACTACTGGAAGCGGTCAATTTCATCTTTTTAAGTGGTCAACTTCATCTTCGTATCGGTAACACTGTGTACATATGGGAGTGTGGCTTGCAATTCTCCCTAGCAGAAAGTGATGTCAGAGGCAAACTCTTGGCTTTAGCCCTTGGGGAAAGTGTTTACTCTATATACTCCCATTGTGACACAGAGCCCACAATAGCTTAATCAGATGCAAGGAAGAATGTACGGGTAGTTATGACAGTGGCAGATGGTAGCATGCTCCACCTGATTGCTATTGTTTCCCAGGCTTCGACCTTCCACCAGCCCACTCTACACCCCCCACCACATGGTAACGCCTGCATGCACTGGTGGTGGTGGTGGTGGGTTTTCACTGACCACATCTCCTGATTCTCTGCCGGGGCCTGAGGTGGTGGCGGCGGTGTTTCCGCCAGCAGTGATAGGTGGCGATGTTGATGGATGTGGTGGTGAGGGGACAGCTGCTGCAGTAATCAAAATGTCGCGTAGGGGGAAGTAGACAGAGAGGAGAGGTGTGGAAAAAGAGGAGAAGAGAGCGAGAGAGGGGGTCTAACAATAGCCTCAAAGCAGAAACCACATGCATTACTAAAAAAAAAACTTCTTGGCGCCAGGGGCATATAATGCACTAAAAATAATGAAAAAGCACTGAAGTGCAAATCATCGGTGAACTGCACATGCGTGGTACCGCTAATTGATGGGCTGGGCTATTAGTATGCGTTTAGTCGTGGCCTCCTGCTAGTAGCTTGCGGATAGCCTGACACGGGCTGCTACAGCATGCGGGAGTTGATACACGGCCTTCGTTGTGACTTCTTGTGCCTTCAAGATACACAGAGCAAGCGGACCAGTCGAGGTAAGCCTGTTCTAATTAGCAATTGGCTTTTTCGCTCGTGTTTCATGCCATAACTCTCGAACACAGCAGTTTCAGAGAAAACCCTACATAATTATTTTTCGACCTTCATCTGCCGCTGAATACGTGGTATTGTTTGTGGAGCCTCGTGAAGTGAGATGTCGAGTAATGGACTGACAGACTGACAGACACACACGATAACTACCATAACCCTTGCTGCACATGCACGAGGAGGGTTAATAAATGAGCATTATTGGCCAAGCGACAGATCGAGAATTTGTGCAATTCAGCCACCACAGTGCTTGCAAACAGCACGGAAGAGCTGTGGTGTGTTGTGGGCAGTGTGGCTCAGCTCATATGACATGCCCTTTTCAGTGGATAGTCTGTGTTTATTTGTAGACCAGCTGATGTTGCTACTGGAGCCTCCCACTGAATACCATAGTCGGTATACCCCATAGTCTAACATCAAATCTTTGGACATGCAACGCTGGCTATGCAACAATTCTCGGCCCAACATTATGATCATTGTTGTGTTGTGTTAGCAGTAGCTGATTCAAAAAATCTGCTGAAAAATACTTACATTTCAGCCCCCTTTATTGTGGCGGTGGAAAATAGCAAACAGCGAACGTTGGTCGATTGTGAACGCATGGACGACGGCACATGCATGGGTGCATTACTACACATGCAATGCAAATAGCCCACGTATGAACTAAATATATTTGCACCTTCTTCTACAACAAACATGCCGTAATGCAGTCTCTCCCCACGTGCAGAAATGTAGCACACCTGCTTCCATCTGGTAGCCGGCACTTGTAGGAGGTCTTGGGTCGGTGAGGAAATAGTTCAGCTCAGAACACGACAGAGGACGGACGGCAGCAGCCGGAGAGGAAGGCAGCAGGTCTGTGCCGTTCTGCATGCAAAGAGCGCAGTGTCGGTCGGACGCGCGAACAATACCACAAAGCGATATTGTCTGCTACAACAAAAGTAAACTCGCGCATGCGCAGTGAGAACGAGAGCGCGAAGCTAAGTCGGTTAACCTTCCACTCACGAGATCTCTCTTGGGACGTCTCGGCGCTCTCTCAGAGAGTATAGACTACCGTACCGACCAGGAGCATCGAGGATCACTGCACGTTGTACAAACATGGAACATTTGCTGCAGCAAGTCAGAAAGTAAGGGTATAAATGCCGTAGAGCGCGAACACACTACATGGTTGCCAAGGAAATCACAAAGTGTTCTCCTTGTCCTATCAGTGCGCTGGCTGAGACTCGGCAGCAAATGAAGAGTCTGTCGCAAGGCACTGGCGACTCTCAAGGTATATTATGTATAACTACATGTACTGTCACAACCGAGACTGTCTGGTATGTCTAGACTTTATAGTTGTATATACAGCAGTGAGAGAGAATGTAGCTGAGTTTGTATTAGTATGACCTTTAACCTTTGCCACATGGGTAGAATAACCGTAACAACCTCTATATCCGAGTGAACCTATTCACCTACACATTTACTTGCCTAGTTTTATAACGTTCTTAATGCTGACCACTACATAATTATTTGAGAGTGCCTAACAACCACCAACATAATATGCACTAAGGGTCTGCTGTAACGATTGTGCTTGTTTGATGGAAATTGTACCAATTATCGACGACATAATTTTGATGTATGATGACATCATGCAGTGCTGGAGCTGCGCGTGGAAGAGAATTTGCAGCAAATGGAACAAGACTGCTACAGACTGGAGAACTATGCCAGGAAAGAGATTCCCCAGAGAAGACAGGAGGCAAAATAGTGAGTAAAGAAGGAAGGGGGGAGAAAGTAAGGAGGGGAGAGGAGGAGGAGGAGGAGGTTGGAATGGAGGGTAGGAGAGAAGGAGGGTGTTTATTGTTTGTTTAGGTTGGGGGCGCGCCAGGCCGGCGGTGGGTGGATTGAGACGAAGAGCCGAATGTTGGCCCCGGGGGGGAGGAGGTGGGAGGTTGCGACGGAGGGGGGAGAAGAGAAGGAGGTGGGGGGAGCGTTTGTTGGGGGACGAGAAGGAGGAGGGGATGAGAGAAGGAGGTGGAGAGAAGAGAAGGAGGTCAGAAGGGGGAGGGGTTGGGAGGAGAGATGGGAGAGGAGGGGAGGAGAGGGGGTGATGAGAGTGGAGGGGGAGGTGTGAAGAGAGAGGGAAGGGTGGGAGAGGAGACAAGGTGAGAATGAGGGAGAGGGAAAGATGGGAGAAGGTGGAAGGAGGTGGGGAGGATTTTTGGCGAGAGGAGGTTTTGAAGGGAGAAGAGAAGGAGGTCGGAAGGGAGGGGAGGAGAGAAAGAGGGAAGGAGTGTTTTGAAGAGACGGGCGGGGGGAGAATTGAGGAGGAGGGAAAGAGGAGGGAAAGGAGAGGGAAAGAGAGAAGGTGGGGAGGAGAATGAAGGAGGAGGAGGGAAGGAGAGACGAAGAGAAGGAGGTGGGGAGGAGAATGAGGGAGGAGGAGGGAAGGAGAGACGAAGAGAAGGAGGTGGGGAGGAGAATGAGGGAGGAGAAGGGAAGGAGAGAAGAACGAGAAGGAGGGGTACTGAGAAGGCACGGGCGTGAGGAGAATGAGGGAGGCAGAGGGAAGAGATTTCGGAGAAGGGGAGAGGAGGAGGAGAGTGAGGGAGGAGGTAAAGAGAGAAGGTGGGGAGGAGAATGAGGGAGGAGGAGGGAACGGAAGGAGAGAAGGTGAGAAGGCAGTGGGGAGGAGAATGAGGGAGGAGGAGGGAAGGACAGAAGGAGACAAGGAGGAGGGAATGAGGAAGGAGGAGGGAAGGAGAGAGGAGACAAGGAGGAGAGAGTGAGGGAGGAAGGAAGACTAAATAGTTGAGATCAGACTAATGAGAGGATGGAGGAATAGAAGAGGGAGGGGAGAGGGATGGAGAGGGAGAGAAAGAAGAGAGAGGGGGAGAGATTGAAGACAGAAAAGAGGAAAGGAACTCACCAGGGGAAGGCAGGAGGCAGACCTGCTGCCTTCCTCTCCGGCTGCTGCCATCCGTCCTCTTGTTCCCAGACCAAACCCACATGCGAGAGGGTCTGGTAACTTTCAAGCAATTTGTTGCATATTATTAGGAGTGAGAAATATTGAAGTGAACTTCGTTATGCATGAGGCCAAAAAAACCTGGCCCTTTTACCGTCTACACTGACACAGTGGAGGAGCCTTTTGTTTGGCAGAGATGAAGTTGTATACATGTAGTTTTGCCTTTTTTCCTTTCTTGTTTGGGCGGGGTGAAATTCACTAAGCTTTGCCTTTGAAGGCATTCGGAAATCCGGTTTCTCATCAGATTTGACAGTGAAACGGAATCTAGGCAGCAGTAATGCTCTATCACAGTAGTTATATTTACACTTGAACACACCCTGAAACAGACTTGAATGTGGCAGTATATCCAACGTTTGTAAGTTGGCTAGGGAGCCGCTGAGAGCTTTTGCCTTTCTCTAACAAGGAGCTGCCTTAGTTTGCTTCACGAGACTTACATATACAGAGTACGTCTGAAGTAACAACATGTGTGGCACTCGTGCGATCCTCGCAATCTGATTTGTAGTCTGTTTTTAAACTCGGAAGCCCAAGAAATCGCTTGAAAGCGACCAGACCCTCTCCCTTGTGGGTGGGGTCTAGGCATGAGGCTACGTAATTTACAGAGAGGAGGGGAGGAGAGGAGGAAAGGGGGGTGGAGGAAGGAGGGATGAAGGGATGGGGGTGAGGGTTGAGGAGGTGATCAGGTGAGAGGTGTGATGAGGGTGAGTGGAGGAGTGAGTTGAGTGAGGGCTGAAGCAGTCAGCGTCTGGTACAGCTATTGACGCAAAACCTGATCCTGAAGACATCATATCCGTAGTATCCGAACTGCTCTTCTAGTATGTAATACACGCCTACCAAAAGTCCGCGGACTTTGGATGCACGTTACATCGATTTGTCGTTCTACAATCTGATTGGAGCTCTAATTTTAGAGATCTAGGACCAAAAATTGTGCCACGTGATGAGTGGGTGGGGTCTGGGCACGGGACTACCATCGACTTGTAGTCAAACCCACCTTAAAATTTGAATGAGACCCCATGGAATGGGAATCAGACCCCTGGTGGAATGGGAGTGAGAGGAGTGAAGAAGTAATTATAAAGAAAAGTGCCTGAGGCTATTTGTTGTTGTGGTCGTCATGGAAACGATGTAATACACATGCGCACCAAGTTTCACCTCCATGCGTGACCCACCATGGAATCTGAATCAGACCCCATGGAATGGGTATAGGACCTGTGGTGGAATGGGAAACTGACCAAGCCTCTCTCCTCTGCAGTCGTGTGGATCAGGAGGTGGCTGAAGTGAATGACTTGAAGAGGGCATTTCAGGGCTTCAAACATCACAAGGAGAATGCAGTGAGTGACCTGTTCATGCATAATCACACAAGAGTATCTTCCCTCCGCACCGCTAAAATTATTGTGAAGGTCACCTTTTACACTGTTGGTTCAAAGACCAAGCTCGTTAATAACGGGGACATAATTCCCATATAAAAGTTGCATTAGCAATCTTGCTAAAATTATTGTGAAGGTCACCTTTTACCTCTTACTCTCTTTCTCCTTCCCGTATCTCCTTCTTTCCCTGCCTCCCGAGCACAGCGAGCGTGCCAAAGCAGACCGATGACCGACGAGGTGAACATAACTATCACAGCGACGGACAGCCTCAGCTCCCACCTACTTCCGCGCTTGACCCTCCTAGACTTCCCTCTCGCGTACGCATACACTAGTCCTACATCTATTCACCGTCATACCCATCCCTCTCTCTTTCCCCTCCTCCCTCTTCCCTCCCTCTCCCCCTCCCTCTTCTCTTTCTCCCTACTCTCGTTCTCTCACTCCAGGAGTTGGAGGCCAGACAGAGAGAAGAACTCCTCTCTAGGAGATTTGTTACGAATGTGAGTTGAATGCCTGACCTGGTCAAGGCCACCTAATGATAGGGTATGTACAGCATATCTCTCGAATGCAGTCATCGCCATTTCATTTTTCAGGCTCGTGTAGTTCTGAAGCCGTTGGTATCGCTCAGTACTGTAACCTTCGCCGTGCAAGTGGGCCGAGGGTTAATAACCGAGACATGCCAAAAAACCCTGGTGAAGATGCCATGTGAAAACTAAGAGGTAGAAAGGCAAAGGCACAACAAACAAATCAACTACACCCAGGACAGTTCTTTTTTCCAAGGAAAAAGAAGAGCTCCCCTAAGTGAAAGAAGGGCTCCCCTAAGTGGGATTCGAACCCACGACACTCTGCAGTCTAGGCAAGCGCTCTACCAACTGAGCTACCAGTTGGTAGGGGTTCGAATCTACGTACAACGCAATACAACACAAGGCAAACCTCAAACCACTGTGCTATGGCACAGTATACTGTTTATCATTAGGTGGCCTTGACAGTTTAAGAGCACATATAACTACAGATATCTTGGCACTGGATTACCTTGCTGTGTTCATATGTTCAAGTTGCTAATCTGTAGCCGCGTTTAGGTGTGGGCTGGGGATCTAAAACTTATTCAGTGGTGTCAGTTAAATTCCCACCCTCATTTGGGTATGTGGGGGTGACTGTGCCACTCTAACTCTATTTGGACTCTAAGACAGTGTTAGTTACTCTGCAGAATGACACTTTTACACTCTGTGTAGCTGTATGTCCTGCTGAATCACATACAGTAATGGTGAATGCTTGATAGTTCACCTAGACGACAATATAGGGATTGTGTGATGGGGTCGGGGGTGTCAGCGTGCTCAAATCTGTTCATTAACCACACTTCATGTATCCCATCCCTATCTTGTCTCCCTTTCTTTTTATACCATCCTCTTTTCTTAAATGCACATTTTTAGTATAATAAGTAGAGGGGAGATGACGTACTGAGAAGCATCCTTGCACAAAGAGAGGTGTCACATTGCAAGAAAAGAAGAAGGAACAAGATATAATTATAGGGCAGTGAAGGTAGGGCAGAGGTGTAGGAGGAGGGATGATATACTTTTGTGCAAGATTGGAAGGTTAGAAGAAGGCAGGAAGTTGTGTGTGGAGGAGGAGGTTTTTGTAGAGATTGGAGACAGGGAGACCTCATGGGGAGGGAGAGATATTGATCAGGTGGCT